TTCTGATCCTCCTGCCCCTGCCTCCCACATGCTGAGATTATAGGCATGTACCGCTCTGCAGTGCTGGGGATCAAACCCAGGGCCTCGTACATGCCAGGCAGGTACTCCAGCTGAGCCATGTCACCAGCCACTCAGTAGTTTTCTTGGGAGGTCATGTGTTTCTCTCCCCAAAGAGAAAAGAATTAGGCTTTTCTTTGTCCTGCAGAATTGACCCCAGGTACTCCATCAGAGAGGCGTGGCAAATGTCATGGGGGCTGCCACTGTTGTGACCCAGAGCTACAGCAGCCTGGTGCAGGTGAGCATGAAGGTTTAGGACTGGTATAGTCTGGTCTGGTTTGCATCCCTGTTGCTATGACAAAATGCTGACTTAAAGCAACTAAGGAGCAGGGAGGAGGTGCTCATTGGCTTACAGGTTGCAGTCTGTCACTGAGGAGGTAGGTACAGAGTCAGGAACTTGCCATCAGGACCAGAAGCAGAGAGGAAGACCTCACACTAGCTTGTTCTCTGGGCTTGCTTAGCTTCCTTGCTTATGTATGCCAAGCCCACCTTCCCCTGATGGCACTGCCTACAGTTGGCTTACCCTACCTACATACCTTAGCAACCAAGACAGCACTCCATAGATAGGCACATAGGCCAGTCTGAAGGAGACAGTTTCTCAATTGAGGTTCCTTCTTCCAAGGTTTGTGTAAATTTACAAAAAGTAATGAGCATAGGATTGGAGAAGCAGCTCTGCAGTTAAGAGCACATACTGATCTTCCGGAGAACCTGAATTCAGTTCCTAGCACCCACCCACATCAGACAACTTATAACCACTCTACCTGCAGGGGCAATCTGATGCCTCTGGTCTCTAAGGGGATCTGCACTCACATACACATACCCACACGAGGACACACACACATATGCATAATTTAAAATAAAAAAATAGATCTTTAAATAAAAACTCACCCAGCACCCACCTTTCTGCCCACAGACTAGCACAGGGGGTATGCCTGCTGTGAGCCGTACAGCCACCCTCTCCCTGCATCCCTCGCCTCTGTGTCTACCTCACGTGGGCCCCTCTGGCCCCACTAGTATCAGCCATTCTGCAGACTGGAGGGCGGGAGCTTAGACTCCAGAGATCTGAGCCCATAGCTGCTCGTTATCCCGACATCTCTGCTCTTGGGCAGGAGTACACATCACACTAGCTTTTATCTGGCAGAGCACAGGCTATTTCTGTCCTGTGTCCTTCTCTCAGAACTTTTGCAGATGTCTCCTGTGAGTCCAAAAGGGCAAACATGGGGCTGAGATGGTGAGGGTGTCATCTCAGAGCCATCCTGCTGCCTCCCTAGAATGATGGAGCCAGTCAACAGGCCAGGGTGAGCTTTCCAGACAGACATGGAACAGAGAACAGAGGTTTGAGGCCAGGACCTGATGTGCCCCAGGACCACTCTGGAAACCTACTCTGGCCCATCACAGTTTCTGCTACCATCAAGTATGTCTTGAGTTCTGATGAACAATTTCATCCTTTCCCTGACTCTCAATTGTCACCTGCCACACTCCTGTCCTTATAGGACATCCAAGACTGTCCTTGCAGAGAGAGCCATAGGAAGGGAGGGCATGGGCAGCCTGGCCTGGAGATACTGAGGATCATGGTTTAGAGCTGGAGGATGATAACCACAGCTTCTTTCCAGCAGCATGGAAGGATTTAAACATTGGCAAGGCCCGTGACAAGATGGAGAAGTACCCAGAGCTTCCAGGACCTCAGTTGCCATGAGCTAGAGAGAGGCCCAGGGGAGCAAGGCTCTGTGGATCTAGAGAATGGCTCCAGAACAAGGCTGCCCTGCTCTGGGTCTTGGTCTCAGAATGAGCTCAGAGCCTCTTGGTGGCTTGCAGCTTTCTGAGTTTCACGCCAGCTACCACTCTGGCCCTCGCTCCCGTGTTGTTACCTGCACACTCACGAGTAGCTAAGGACATCTCCTCAACGCCAGAGTGTATAACCACAGATCCCCAAGGCCCTGTGGCTCCTGGGAGAAGCCCAAAAGCAACCTCTACTCTTGGTCACTTTGAAAGAGACTGAGTGACAGCCAGTGACAGGAGAGTAATGACACTTCCAAGGTGGAGCCCATCTTTTATTTATTTAATCCAAACCATCGAGTGAATTATTCATTCTTGTTTATGTAAGCCACTGAGCCACAGAAATAACAAGGAAGTTGAAGCACCCCAAATCAAATGATTGTCTCCAGGCTTTGGACATCACCCCTTGCTTGTCTTGTCTGTCCCCCCCCCACCCTACCCCCCAACAGTGGCCTCACCCTCACCCTGAAAGAGGTGGCTTTCACTCCTGACCACCAAGGGCAATAGATGTTTCCTCTTTGCAGCCACAACCATGCCTGTGATTGCTTGGCATGTAGCCAGAGTGCCTCCTCTCCATTCATCCCCACAGTACACAGACCTTCCTCCCCATGGGCCTTCAATGGCCCTGAGCCCCACAACTGCCAGCCTCTGAGATCGGAATTACACAAAAGCCCATTTCCTTCCTCAAGGTCAGCCTGTGTTTGGTCTCAAGACTTAATCTTCCCCATTGGACATCTGAGGTGTTTCAGCAGTTGTCACAGTCTCTGATGGCTGAAACATCCCTGGGAAGTGTGGTCAGTGAATTTCTTCTGACGAAAGCCCTCTCTCAGGAAGGAGGGGCCCAGGGATGCCTGGAAGAGTCTTGGGGTCAGGGCTGCCAATTAACCTTTCATTTTCATAGTCTGATCACTCGATTAATCAAGGCTCTGGGCCTGTGTCCTGTTGAAGGGGCTCACACTGTGGAGAGCAGTGTCTGCCAAGGCCTCTGGGAGGTGATGGATGAAAGAGCCGAAGGACAGGGCCAGCGGCCAGGCGACAACCCCACAGAAGAGCTTCTGCCTTCATTTCTCCTCACAGCCCCTGGTACCAGCATGCCTTGCTCAGAGTGTGACTTCCTCACTGGACTGTGGGTGGGCTGTCCATTGTAGACTATGAGGTATGGCAAAGGTGGCAGCAGCCCTGCTGGAGCCCTTCAGCTGCGTGGGTCCAGTGGTTATCCTCTGTGAATTTCAGTTTCCTTGTTTATAAAAAGGGGGTGGGAACATGTTCATCTGGAGGTGTAAATGTGTGAATTTTCCTGGGAGGACATTAGGAAAAAAATCTGTTCATTCTAGATAGGGCACCAACAGCAGTGCATTCTGGCCAAGTGCAGGTTAATGAAACCATGAGTTTATTGGGGTTACTTACAGGAGCCCGAGTGAAGCACTGACAGCTAACTCAAAGGAACTGCCGAAAAGCCCACCCCAGCACAGGGAACAGCCCTCAAAAGCTTCATCCCAAAGGTTCCCCATGGAACTTGCAGCAGCTCGGCCAGTTGGAGCGGCTGCTCTCCAGAGCAGTTGCTGTTACTCTAGAACCATGTCCTAGTGATGTGGTTTTTGAGTTTGTGCATCTGACTTAGGCTGGACTCCAGAGCTTTCCCTAGCCAGATCCTCAAGACTGTGTCTGAGGACAGCCGCATGCTGTGCTCCCCTGGGAGACGGTGCAGAGTCACAGAGGTAGCAGAGTGCTCTCTGGTCTGTGTTCCTCCAGGTCACTCAAAGCTTCTTGTTCCCATATAGCTCTCTGAAAGCAGTCTCTCTGGCCCCACTGACTTCTAGAAAGCCACCCCATTTGCACACACTAATCATCCTCCGGGGCTGTGGTGCACAGGACACAGGCTCATTTTTCCTCCTGCCTCAGGCCTGACCTCAAACTCTTTCTCTGCTCCTCTTTGACGGTGAGCCCATGAGGACCTGTGATGGGCCTAGTTGGTGGAGCCTCTTGGACGCCGAGTTCCTCTGACTTAGGGATATCTTTCTCCACTCAAGCCCAGGACCACCCTCCTCAGAAGTGTCCACATATCATGGCCAATATTAACTAAACCCAGTTCCTCATCATAGTGAAGGGGAGGTCCACACCCCACCATTACCTGAGCCCGACGGCCCAGGCCTGCGGGGCTCCCCTTAAGAGAAAACTCCACGAAGGACTTCCAGGAAGTGCCCAGCTTGAGACAGTCCCTGTGTGTGTAAGTGGAGCCAGGCTCAGTAATTAACGGGGTGTAAATTAGGGCTTAATCACTCAGCAGGCACCTTGGGTGAGAGATTCATGGTAATTGTGTGTGCTCCTTGTGGCTTTGCGCAGCTGGCTTCTTCCTAAGCACCAGTAAACGGTGGCGGCGGCAATTGGGGAGGTGGTGCTCGGCCCTGAATGATCCCCCCAGAGACATGTGGGAAGGGACTCCTAGGCCAGATTATCTGGAGCCCACCCAGTCCTTGCTGAGGGACAAGGAGGGTCCTTTTGGTTATAGGTAGTCAGCGTGTAGATCCTATACCTATAAATAAACCGTTCTACAATATCCAGACAGCTTCCATCCACCTCTCTCTCTGCATGCTGTGCTAGCTCATCCAGGGCAAGTGGCCAATCCCTGGAAGGAAGGGGCTGAGGCTACAGCCTACTGATGGTCCATGTGCCCAGAGCGCCTGGGATTCTGACCCTCAGTGCAGACTTGAACTCCTGGTGCTTCCTTCTCCTGTGTGCTCAAGAACCTGCTGCCCAGCTGGGACCAGTCACCCCCAAAGCATGACCTGCTGCCCTATGGTGCTTTCCAACAGTAATCCAGGGTGATGTCCTATTGGGCATTGTTATTCTGCTAGCAGGGTATCTAGTCACACCATCTGTCTCTGGAAGTCACTGTTGTTTTGCTTTGTTTTAAAGTACTGTTGTTAACATAATAATAAAAAATGAGTTTATTATGGCTGCCACCAGAGGGTCACACTGCTTCTCTGGCCTCTGTCCTTTTTCTTCTGATTCCTCAGGGCACACAGAGAGATGGGCACCAGCCTCAGGCGTCTGCAGGCGCAGGGACTCCAGTTGAGCCATGGTTCATCCTTGCTCCTTTCCCCCTGGCCGTTTTCCCTGTCCCACCTGTGCATTCTGGGACTCACACCACACCCTTCTCCCTGCAGAGCTGCGGAAGCAGGTGGAAAGTGCCGAGCTGAAGAACCAGCGGCTCAAGGAGGTTTTCCAGACTAAGATCCAGGAGTTCCGCAAGGTTTGTTACACACTGACCGGCTACCAGATTGACGTGACCACCGAGAGCCAATACCGCCTCACCTCCCGATACGCTGAGCACCAGACGGACTGCCTCATCTTCAAGGTAGGCAGCTCGCCTCCTCACTGGGAGGAAGATCAGTGTCGGCCTTGGTTAATGTCATGTGCTGGAGCAGCCCAGTGTCTCCATAGCATGGTCTTCCATGGCAGGAGGAGACATACTGGCCCCTTTCTCTCCACTCTGGACAGGCACTGACCTCGGGCCACTTACTGGCTTTTCTTCACTTACTCTGTAAGTCTCTGCCAGGGATCAGTGTGTGGCACAGCCCATGGAAGGGAAGGACAAGCTGTATATGCCAGCTACTTGGTGGTCAGGCCAAAGGTACCAGAGGAGATGTCGTAGGTAGCTGGGCAAGCCCTTCAAGCTGGGAAGGGTCAGTGGTCTTCATGAAGCATGTGTGTACCTGTTGGAGTCTCCTGTACAGTGTGGGCTTCTGAAGAGGGGTCCCTCTTAGTCAAAGCAGAAGCGTCAGCCTGAGGGAGGGGGCTTGGCCAGACGTGTAGACAGGTTCTGAAAGTAACACAGGTCCAGCAGAAGTGAAGTTGTTCCTCAGTGGGAGTGGCATTGTAACTGAAAATCTGGGGTTACAAGGACTTACCCATCACTGGCAGCAGCCTTACTTCCTGTCTGTGGGCTGGTGTTATGGTACAAGCATGGTGCATGACCCTGGAGTGGCCTGTGATCCCAGTGTTCTGTGTGACAGTTAGGGGAAGAGACTCAGTAGCTGTGGGTGGGAAGCCCAGAGGTTGGCCAGCTCCACTCTGTACCACGTGTGGCTGGGCCACCCACGACCTCAGCAGCCATGCCGTCTATGCCCTGCAGAAACAGGAACCTGCGTTCATTTCTGTCTAAACCCTGTGCCCAGTGGGACCTACATGTTTTATGCCAAATTTCACAGAAAAAGTAGTAGCCCTGGCCCAGAGTTTGTCACTCTACAGTGGCTCACTTATCCTTGTTCCCATCCGTCTGTCTGTCTGCCCCTTTCATGGGACTCTGCCCACCATGGTGGCAAAGGCACATGCAGCGCAGCACCTACTGTCCCTTGCAATTTTGTGTTGTGTCTTGGAGACTCTCTGGACTTCTCAAATTGCATCCCTCCATTTTTACACTTCTTAACACTCTCAGACCTTTGACTAAGTAAATAAATATTTGAACGCCCAAAGTCTCTAAGTCAGTAAGCTATCAGGAATGTATTTCTTTGCTTCTGTGTACCTTTGAATAACTCAGGCTCGCTGATGGGTATTTAATTTAATGCCGCGTAAGATTGGCAAATGAAGATGTGCTGAATAGTTGTCATGACAAACGCACACTTACAGCAGTGTGTGTAGACAAGGTCCAATTCGCATTCCAAGGTACTCTAGGGGTTTTGTTGTTTTGTCTTTTGGTGGTAAGGGGATGGAACCCAGGGCCTCCTGCATGCCCGGAGGCAAGCACACTCCCAGCCAGCCGCTGTGGGGCCTGTGTAGCACGGCCTCCAAGCTGCATCCCCAGCTCCCTTCTTTGCATTTAGAGACAGGGACCTACTGCCCATGTTAGCCTTGAACCCTGTGTTGTAGCACATGTTGGCCTAGACTTGTAATCCTCCTGCCTCAGGATGCATCAAAAGGTCCTGCCGTGTTCTGTTTTTAAGGCTGTTGAAATCATGGTGTGCACCACCAGTTTCAGGCTAGGCTATCCAAGGCCACACAATGAGAACCTCTCTCTAAAGAGCTTAAGTCACTTCTGCTCTGGTATCCAAAAGGCAAACATGGTCGTCACAGTACTGCTTTGACCCTGCCACCCTATTCCAGCTAGTTCCAGTCTACTCAGTTCGGCCTGCCTTCTTTCTGTCACAAGCCCACTTGTAGTGACCTCCTAGCTGTCTGTGAGACCTAGCACAGCCTCTGCAGCACACAATAGAGTGAGGGCAAGCACAGCTGCTTACTGTACCTGGTACACACTGTCCTCACGCTCTTCCAGTTCTTCACTTGCCCACAGAGGAGGATAAGGTGTTCCTGCCCACCAGCTGTCCTTGGGGTTGCCTAGCCAACCATGCACACACACAGTTGTGTATCCCCTCAAAGATGGGTAATAGAGGAAGCAATATAGATGCGCGGCTACACACAGTCACCATTCTCCAGGTGTCAGTGGGTCAGACCCAAGGGGCACTCAGTGACACCAACCCAGCTAGGCAGGAAAAGCAGGCAACTGCATTCAACTCAGGGCTCAGAAACAGACCAGTTTTCTCTGACTCCAGGTGTCTCCCTAACAATGGCAGGAGGGACAAGAAGGAGGCCCCACGTGGTTTGCCGACGGACACCACCCCCAGCCAACATGGTTTGAGCCTGTTGAGAAGCTTCTCCTGGGCTCCTGGCTACACCCAGGGCTCAAAACCACCTCAACCTCAAGTGGCCAGTGTAGCCACAGCAGGGCCTCACCTCCTGGCATCAGACAGGCTACAGAATGTGTGTTCACACAGGGACACATGTGCTCATGCAGGGACAGGGTGGAATGGCTTGGTGAAAGTGGTGGCAAGGTCAGAGCTAGTGTGCTGCTGTGGTCACTGGTGACGAACTCGGCATGTGGTGATGGATTGAAGGGGCTGCACCCGTGACCTTGGTAGAGTTGGCTCATATCAGAGAGAAGCTGTTACACTGCATCACTCTGGGAAATCCTGGGGTGTGTAAACTCTTCCTTGTACCATGTTTTCTTTGTAAGAATGCACTTTCATGAGCACGTGTGTACGTCTGTGTATAGGGTGGAGACAGACGACACCTCCACCTGTTCCTCTTTGAGATCCATCTTTGAGATCATCAGTCACTGACCTGGAACCTGCTAAGCTGGCTAGCTAGTGCTAGCCTGGGACTGCACTTTCTTGTTCCTCCCTGGCTTGGGATGACAAGTGTGCCACCATGTCTGGCTTTTGCACATGGATCTGGAGATTGGATTAGCATCTTGGTGCTTGTAAGGCAAGTAACCCACAGGACTGCCTCCGTCCTTGGAGATTTATTTGCTGAGAGGCAGCTGTCACTCCACAGCAGGGCTGACGCACCCTCTACAGTCACCCGTTTGCCCTACTCAGACCCTTGTGGCCCACCCTCTGCACCAAGGACAGTGAGTCTTGTAGGCAGCTCCTTGAGACCAGCAAATGTTTCCTGTGGGCTGCTGGGCTTTGGCTCCAGTTTTCTCCTCAGCTTTCTCTTGGCCTGCTACAGCAACCATGGCCTCAGCCTGCCCTTCTGCCTCACTGGCTCTTCCTCATACCTGGCCCTGTCCAGTCTGGAGATTTCTGTCCCGTGGCCCCACTGTATCCAGCTGTGGAAGGAAGTGAGTGCAGGGACTCAATGCTGGACACACCCTAGTCCTCAGAGCACTATAGTATGAGCTGGTGCTGGCCCACTGCCTGCCTTCTCCATCTGCTTCCTCATCTGTCTAGTGCAGATAATCACAGGTTCTGCTGGCCCTGCACCTGCGATAGTGTAGGTCACCTGAGGGTCCCTGCTGGTGACTAAGCTGTTACCTACAGATGCTGCCCTCCTGTGTGCAGCCTATAGTGACACCAGAGTCTTTTTTTTTTTTTTTTTTTGCTGCTGTCCCTGGCAAAGCCTTAAAGCAGTTCCCCAGAAGTGTCCACAGTGGGCAGATCTCAAAGAGGAAGTGGCACAGATTATCCTTTCCTTATCCCCAACCCCACCCACCCTGTCTCCCCTAGTTAGGGAACATGGGAGCCCTGGCAGCAACCGTAAAGCATCTCTGGGTCTGCCCCTTCCCTGACCAGGTCCCTTCCTAGGGTAGAGGCCCCTTTGTGCCATTCTGGCCTTTGGGGCCCACACATCCCTGAGAAATTCCCCTGTACAATGTAGTAACAATAGGACTACAGTAGGTCTTCCAGCAGGAAGTCTCTCCTCAAGACCCTAGGGTGGGGTTGGTCCCATCCCATCCCATCTTTGGCCATTATGTACCCTCATATCCTCTACAGTACCATCAGAGCTAAAGCCATTCTACAGCCCTTCTCCACCACCGACACCTGGCTAGCAGACAGGGCGTTCACAAGGTCTATTGGAGACTGGCTAGAGAAGAGGGAAATGGACAGGGGCCAGGCAGGAGGCAGGGCTGGCTCATGCACAACTCTGTGACCATGGCCAAGTCAGGCTCAGGCAAGGTCACGCTATCCCCCAGCTCACAGTAACTTCCGCTCATTTTCTTTTCACCCCAAACAGCTTCCAGGCAGGGGGGGTCTGTGTGGCAGAGTTAGAAATAGCTGGGGCCTGTTTCCAGCCAAGCAGATTCTGCAAATGTGTGCTGGGATAATTGAGGGTTGGCTCATGGTCCCACATGGCTCCGCTTCCCTTCCCAGCCTGGACCCAGCCTCTGCCGTGTGTGGGTGGCCGAGCCGCCTCCCAAGGCTGCTGTGTCGGGGAAGGCAGGAGCTCAGCTCCAGCACACGCTGGGAGTCTGGCATCTTGCCCACTCCTCCTCTCCCAAGAGAAGTTGGACCCCAGAGTCTCCAGTTTCCTTGGAAAGACTGGACCTACCAAATGTCCCCAGCAATCCTGGTGTGACCTCATTCCCTGTGGCTCACAAGGACTACCCAGAAGGTAGTCAGAAACAAGAAGCCAGACAGCTGCAAATAGAATTGACTGCAAAGCTCTTGAGATGCAGGTGACCATGACCTTGGGTCCCTTCTCTCATGCCTCTGACCACTCCACAGCCTAGCATAACCCAGGGCCTGGAGGAAGCTGTTCAGGGACAGTGAGAAGACCTGGAATCTGGGATCATATGGACCCTGCTGTGTCTTAGCTGTCTAGTACAAGTTCCTGATCTGGGAAGCAGGATCGTGCAACCCTAAGGGGTAAGACTACATGTTTATATAAAAGTATAGGTTCACGCCTTTATCCACATGGCTAGGTCCAGCTTTTCACATGGATACTGAGATTGAACTCAGGTCCTCATGCAATTTTACTCCAGACCTGTCTCTTGTGTTTTGCTTTTTTTTTTTTTTTAACATAATGTCTCCCTGTAGCCCAGGCAGGCCATGACTGAGATCCTCCTGCCTCTGCCTGGAC